TACCAAATTTTATCCGGATATCTCGAAAACTGAGAGACTAGATTGCATACAAACAGACGGACATACAGACATACAGACAGACGGACAGACGGACATGGCTAAATCGGCTCAGATCGCCGTTCTGATCATTTAAGTATACATTTTAATGGGTCTATCTCTTCTTATTCTGGTACTTACAAACATCGGACCAAAGTTATAATACCATTTCATGCTCATGAAAGGTATAATGAGTTAGGAACAGTTTGGAAATGGATTTCAGGTACAGCTGACCATGATGATTTTATGCAAATAAAAAATAAGGTAAACGATTTAATAGAAAGCAATAATAGGCAGTTCACAACCAATTCTCAGATATTTAAAACAATCACGGAATTAACACAAATAATAAAACAGTTACAGGGTAGTACCAATGAAATAACATATTTAAGACAGAGAAAGAAACTTATAATCACTGAACTTGAAAACACTATACAGACTATTACATTGTCAAAAGTAGGAATTTTAAATCCTTTAATTTTAGATATGTCAGAAATAAAAGAAATAATAAGCGAGGAACGAGTTAACGTAACCATGTCAGATGTTTCAGAATTTAAAGTTGTACTAAAAAAATAATTTAATAGTTATATATATAAAATATCCAAAAGTGAAAAGTATTTGTAAATTATTTAAAACAATAGCGGTAGCCCAACATGGTGGGAAATTGTTAATTGAAAATGAAATAATAAAATGTCACGATAAATTTTATTCGGTCAAATTTTGCAAAAAGGAATTAAATAACGCCTTCTGTATGATAGACGAAAAAATCACATGTTTGTCAAATATGTTCAATAATAGACAAGCAAATTGTACGAAAATAAATGAAGCTAATGAATCCATAAAAGTTATAAAGGTGGTGCTATAATAATTGCAGGAAAACATAAAGTTATTAATTATACGTTAGAGGGAGTTTATTCAGTAACCTTTCAAGATTTAGTAATTATAGATAATCTAAAATATGAAAATCACTCAGGAAAAATTTTAAACTATTCAAAAGATGTAAAAGTTAAACCATTTTTGTAAAAAAATACGTTGAAACAAGAAATATAGACTTAGAATTAAAAAATTTTAATATACTAACCCCAATAAAGCAGGAAATAGAAAGAAATCCCATTTGGTGGTCGTTTACTACTTTAATACTAATATCTGTCATTATATATTTCATATATAAATTAATCATATGTGTTGATTTTAAAATTAAGTTGAAAGATTCCAAAGAAAAAGTTGAAATGTTTATAAAATTATCAAATCAAATTAATCAACTTACAACTATATATTCGAAAACGGGACGCTTCGATTTAGAAGAGGGGGAGTTAACGCCACCATTCACCCCTAGTACTTACCCGCTAAGTAACCAAGATAGCTGCAGTGAGCCACTTAGGCAAAAGTGTCAAATATGTCAATGACACGTTAGCCATTAGGAAGCGCACAGGAGACAACTCCACTGTTCATTCCTAATACTTACCAGGTATGTAAACAACTGTAACTTAATTGAATCACTTAGGAAAATGTGCCAAATATATCGTTGGCACATTGGCAATTAGGAAGCGGCCATCACCTAACACCTATGGTCTGCTTTTTGTAGAATTGAGATATATGTAATAGAATTAAAAGCACATCATATAACACCTAGCTTTGCACTTCCTAGAATTAAAGCTTGACTTTTGTATCTAGACCTAAGTGAAATATTGTAAAAAAGGGAAAGATTAATAAAGAAGGCAGTTCCGTTTTACTGAATGCCAAGCAACGAGGTTGTTCTTTTTAAAAACCTTTCGCGCTTCGCTGGAATATTAAGTTGCGTGGTTCGCGATGCGTGCGCGCTGTGACAAATGGTGCTGTAAGTCAGGGTATCCAGATTGTTTAAAAATGCGTAATTTCTGAAAAAAAATCGCAAAAAATCGCAATTTTTTTTTAAATAAAATTCATAAAATCGATGTAATAAATCTTTTATTTTAAAAATGAGATCTTGTTATAATATAGTTTTTAAAACCAAAAACGAATATAATACCTTCAGAGGTTAATAATAAATAGCACAAATCACTTATATAATACATCACGAACATTATTCTTTAAAAATACGCATAACTTTTAAAAATATTTGTTTCAACACATTTTGCAATAGGACTGCGCAATTATTAAATTTATTATTACTCATTTTAATTGATTAATCGCGAGTCCCTACGGCTTGTAGCGCTGTGGCTTTGCCGCTTAAACTCTGTAAGTTTTTTTTTTTTGGGGGTGTGCGTCAAGCGGGAGTGTTGAGCACTGGTTATTGATTCAAGTTCAAAAATTGGGTAGGTGCTGTGGCCAATGGTAGCTCTTGTACCACCTCTGTATGCTGAAAGTCACACAAAGCCCCAACAGCTTGTAGCGCTTTGGCTTTTGCTGTTTAAAACCACTCCGGAGGAGTGGTGATGCGTCAAACGGGATTGTTGAGCATTGGTTATTGATTCAAGTTCAAAAATTGGGTAGGTGCTGTGGCCAATGGTAGCTCTTGTACCACCTCTGTATGCTGAAAGTCACACAAAGCCCCAACAGCTTGTAGCGCTTTGGCTTTTGCTGTTTAAAACCACTCCGGAGGAGTGGTGATGCGTCAAACGGGATTGTTGAGCATTGGTTATTGATTCAAGTTCAAAAGTTGGGTAGGCGCTGTGGCCAATGGTAGCTCTTGTACCATCACTGTATGCTGAAAGTCATACAGAGCCCCAGCAGCTTGTAGCGCTTTGGCTTTTGCTGTTTAAAACCACTCCGAAGGAGTGGTGATGCATCAAGCGGGATTGTTGAGCATAATTTGGAGTGCCAGCAATTAACTACTTTTGTAGGTTTTGTTCTGCGGCAGTTGAGAAGTGCATTAAAAAATGCATACCCAATGAAGAACGAACGAATTATTTTTAAGCACAAGTGCGTGTGTTTATTCGCTGCACTTGGTTTTGGGCGGGAGTGCAATATACAAGGGCGTGTGTGTGTTCGCTGTTCTTTATTTATGCGGGAAATGCATAAGTGGCTTAAACATCCTGGCCCCCCTAGACGACTTGTCGTCTAGTGGATGTAAAATAAGCCGCGAGTATCCGGCTCGAAGGACCATAGCAACGCGAGGAGGATTTTCTTCGCTTTCGATTAAATAAAACCACTCGCGTTTTATATTTAAAACGTTATAATGTCTATTTATTATTTTAATAATTAAAATATTTATAAGGACATATGTATATTTATTTCCGTCCAACTTTCCGGTGGCCGTTTCCCGGGTGCGCGCGGTGATACGGTAGACTTTGGAAAGTTGGACGGAAATAAATATACATACGTCCTTATAAATATTTTAATTATTAAAATAATAAATAGACATTATAACGTTTTAAATATAAAACGCGAGTGGTTTTATTTAATCGAAAGCGAAGAAAATCCTCCTCGCGTTGCTATGGTCCTTCGAGCCGGATACTCGCGGCTTATTTTACATCCACTAGACGACAAGTCGTCTAGGGGGGCCAGGATGTTTAAGCCACTTATGCATTTCCCGCATAAATAAAGAACAGCGAACACACACACGCCCTTGTATATTGCACTCCCGCCCAAAACCAAGTGCAGCGAATAAACACACGCACTTGTGCTTAAAAATAATTCGTTCGTTCTTCATTGGGTATGCATTTTTTAATGCACTTCTCAACTGCCGCAGAACAAAACCTACTAAAGTAGTTAATTGCTGGCACTCCAAATCATGCTCAACAATCCCGCTTGATGCATCACCACTCCTCCGGAGTGGTTTCACAGAGCAAAAGCCAAAGCGCTACAAGCTGTAGGGGCTCTGAATGACTTTTAGCATACAGAGGTGGTACAAGAGTTACCATTGGCTACAGCGCCTACCCAATTTTTGAACCTAAATAAATAACCGATGCTCAACAATCCCGCTTGATGCATCACCACTCCTCCGGAGTGGTTT